CGGAAAATATCAAAATAAATCCAACTCTCTTACGAATTAAACAAAATATTTCAAAAGATTGAGAGGAATTGAGAATCTCACGAGAACGACGACGGCGATCGTGATCTCGCTTGAGCTCGAGATCGGAAGTGGAGTAATCGATCCCCTCTCTTTTGTTCCAGGAGGCGAAAGGGGGTAAATTTTGGGCTGGGGGCTGAGTCAAGCTTATATAGCTGGGATAATTTTAGGGGTAATGGAGTTTTTTTCCCCCAATTACACCAACAAATCAATAACACCAAAGAGTTTACCCCAGTTCCAATTACACCAATGAATAACACCAAAAAGTGGTGTTCCAAAAATTATCCCATTATCCCAATTTTTACACCAATGAATAACCCCCCCTAAGTGTGTATAAGATATATAAACTATAAAAAAGCTGAAGTTGTTTTTAAGAGCATCCACATATTGCCTCTTAAAGCATCTTTTAAAAGCAACGGTAGTTTTAATAAGCATGTAAAACAAGTTTTATTAAGTTAATAAGCATGTAAAATAAGTTTTACCAAATATTTTTAACTTACTAAATATTTTTACTGATGGTTCTTAGTATGCTCGGCCACTTATTTCTTTATTTCAAATAGATGAATCCCGAACTATAAAATGAACTTATAAGTGTGCTTTTACTTGCACAACGTTTTCCCAGAGAAAATTAAGTCTCTTGTCAACAAAATAGGTGGGCATTTGTCGGATTGGGTCCCTCGAAATATTTTTTGTTATAAATATTTTGCTGTTAAGAGGACATATTTTGCGTACTCCACAGAGAGAGAGAGAGTTTAGCTTGTTTTTTTTACCATGCCTTCCTTTTTTTTTTCTAATCTCTCCTCTTCAAATATTTAAACGTATTGTTAGAATATAAAAATATAATTCTTAATTTTTATCATAGCTTTAAAGTTTTAATGTAATTGTTAGAGAAACTTAATTGAAAATGATATCAGAGCAACCAATATTTAAATTCCACTAGTTATAAATTTAAAACAGATTTTCTAAAATCGGAGGTATATTAGAATAAAAAATCATGATCCTTACTTTTTATTATAACTTTAGAGTTTTGATATAATTATTGAAGAGACTTAATTTAAGATTGATTTTCTAAATTAACCTTTAAAACTGATTGCTATAGGTAAGTCAATAGAACAAATTTTCAAAACAGCCCCATTTAGAGTTTTATTTTTTAAAATCGACCGGTTTTTTATTTATTTATCAAAACCGACCCGATTTTGTGATTAACCAGCTAATCACCTTCCTAAATAGTCGGGGTTGGCAACCCCGACTATTTAGGACCTTAATTTTTAGTGTTTAAGGCATCTAATCAGGGTTTAATACCCTCCTAAATAGTCGAGGTTGCCAACCCCGACTATTTAGGATGGTGATTAGGCTGTTAATCACAAAATCGGGTCGGTTTTGGTAAATAAAAAAACCGGTCGATTTTGAAAAATAAAACTCTAAAGGGGTCTGTTTTGAAAAATTGTTCTAAGTCAATATTCTCATGTGCAAATTGTGTCAAAAACTATTGACTGTATCTACCTAGAGCCAATAATAATAATAATAATAATAAATATACGCGCCGTTCAGTGTCCCAAAAGTGGGGACCACCACGTTAACAGAAGCCGGTGAACTCATGGCCATTTTTGGGCGAGCTCGTAGCGGACACCTCCATGGTTGTTGAGGGGGCCCGGCTTACAGAAGTATCGGACAGTGACCGCGATAAAAAGGCAAAGTCGTCGGCTCAATTTTGGATCGTTGTTTTTGAGAGGGGAGGGAAGGAGTTGGGAATATTATAATGTTAACCGCTTAAAAATTGTGTTTGCTTGCAATTTTTTAGTGAGTGATGGGAAGGATTTGGAGGGTTAAAAAAATAAATTTCTTCGCTTTTAAGCCTCCAAAATAAATGGATTGGAACTTGGAAGGATTGAGTTTTAAGTAATTTTTTTTTCTTAAAATTCTAAGATTATCTTTAAGGGCTTGTTTGGATTGAGGAGAATGAGGGTGAAGGAAAGTTAGGGGAACCATTCACCTCCATTCACCTTGTTTGGGAACACTTAGGAGGTGAAGTTAATTCACCTTCATTCACCTTGGTTTACCCCCTAATAGTATAAAAATTGTTACCCCCAAATTGGGGTGTAACCAAAAGGAAGGGAATTCCCTTCCCTTCCCTTTCTTTCCCTTCCCTTCCTTTCACTCAGTTTCCCTTAACTTTCCTTTACCCCTAGGAATCCAAACAGGCCCTTAAGTCATATTTGTTATGTGGTTTCTCTCTCCCTTCTTATTTCTTTCTCTCAACAAACACAAATTACAGTGTACTCCTCTTTTTCTCCACTGTCTGTTCAAACACAATTAGTTCTATCATCCCCCCTCTCTTTCCACTCCCTTCCTTCCAAATTACTACAATAATTTCCCTCCCCTCCTCTTCCTTTTTTTTAATCCTAATTTTAGTGTCGTCTTGAATCCCCTATTCTAAAGATTTCCTCACAAATCATGGAGAAAGACCTACAAACATGTCTGACAAACTTAATCCTGGTCTTCACATAAATTATTCATGAACCAGGAAAAAAAATATCAATTTGATAGAAAATATATGTACAAAATGGCAACACATTTTTTTATACGAGCTATAAACAAATTTTGAGACTCACCTTACTAGTTACATCAGACGAGTCTATAACGTGTATTTCTTTGTAGCTCATTAACAAAATAAATTCTTATCTCACGACCATCAAATAAACTTTTTACGGGCTTTATTTATCACCCAAAAAAAAACTTCTTCCCCCTAGAAGCAAAGATTCCAACTATATTTAATGCTATCCGCAACAATAAAACTACAAGGATTTGGCCACTGCAGGGCATCGATCCATAATTAACCCTATGTAATGTAACAAGTAAAACCTAACAGAAGGAATTTCTTCCCTTCAAAAGATAAAAGGGAATAGCTAGGCTTTTCCCTCATTAATTAATTTACCTCAAAGTTGAAGCATATTTCTAGGCATATTTACTGAAAATTTATCCTTTACTATTCAAAAATGCAGGGACAGGAAAGGTTCATTATGTAGATTAATCCCCCACTACTAAGATTCCCAAATCCTACTTTTATTTGATTTTCTTTTTTTGGATTCCTCCACCTAGTTCCACTTTCATTATGATATTAACCCACTAAAACTATAACTCTGACCACTCATTGGCAATGCTTAACCATAAATAAGGGTGGTGCTACAGGGATCCAAAAACATGGGACCCTACATGAGACGTGTGATGTGTCGGCTCCCTGTCCCATGATGCACTGTTCATGAACAGTGCATCATGGGACAGGGAGCCGACACTTCACCTGTCTCATGTAGGATCCCATGTTTTTGGGTTCTAAGTCATTTTTCCCACAAATAATTATGCCATCTGATCTTAACATTGATAACAGCGGCATCAATGCATGCGCTATTATAATTAGTAGTGTCCTATGACATAAGACATGAGAATTAAAAAACTAGTCACCTAATATTCTCTTAATCTCTTTTTATACTTCTCTAGAAGTCATCAATTCTCTTAGGATCCATGAACTGATCTAAAGCTCAAATGATTCCAAGTCCAAGCCTTCAACTCTGAAAAGTTTCAGAACAGGATTAAAAATGAACACATATTAAAATAAAAATAAAAATAAAAGTAGCAAAGAACCTTGCAGTCCACTCAAGTTAAGGATATCCCGAAGCTACAATGAGCAAAGGGTCCTTGTATCAAGGATATACTTCGTAAATTGACGTCTACTAATTCTTATGCTCGAGTTTTGCCTTCACAAAGTAGCCACAAGATCTCTTTAGATGCTCAATTTTTGGGTATTAACATAGGATACACACTTGAATACCCGTGTTTAGGCGAAAAGTGACATAATGAAAAGCAAAGGAAAAGGCAGAAAGAGATCACTTCATATACTAGAGATTCCAAGCCCACCGGAGATTTAAAACTTAAAAAAAAAAGGGAATGAGATATAAAGAGAGCAAAGATAGTGATGGGAAGAGATTAGGAATAAAGGAGAATGTGACATCTGAGGGAGAGACGGAATTCCTATCCAGCTTGCACGTAATAATATCAATCAATAAGTTAAAATCACTGTGATTAATTTACATAAATTTTCTGTGGTCTGCTGATTGGTGAGGGAGAAATCAAAGAAGGATTGTCCTGTCCTTGTTGGTTGAAGAAAGATGCTCAGAGATGAATTGCGTCCAAAATATCACGTTACCGATTTTCATCAAAACAAAGCCCTAACAGAACTGTGTGCGCACATTTTTCACTGCATCCCTTTTTCTATCATAAAATAACTCATCACGAGCTTGCACATCACACATCAGAGTTTGAAAAATACCTTATTTTTTTCGATTGGGGTCTGTAAGATATTTTATCTGCTACTATTTTATTCGATAAACATGCTAAATCAAGACTAAATTAAGGACCCATTCGTCAAGTAAGTTTTCTAAGTAACAATTAGTCTGAAGAGACATTTTATAGATTGATAACTGAAGTGGATACGAAAATATGGTTTAATAAAACTTTATTCAGATGTGAAGAAGGGATAATAGATGTGAAGAATGGTGTAGATCACCCCTCTTTGTATGGAGTTTTGGTAGAATCCTAATTCTTCTAACTTATATCATTGGGAGTTGAAGAAAGAACCAATTGGACAGGATTTTAGTTAACATACTTTTGATGTTAGATGATAGTAACTCAGTAAAACTGCAAATGGTAGATAAATGAAAGATAAATGAATCTGAAATCGATACTTGGTAATTGATTAAATTGGAAAAAAAAGACACGTCACCCAAAAAACTTCACTGCAAAACCATTGAACAACGTCAAAACGAAGCTAGAAGTTTCCAGTTTCTCACATCTCATCACCACGTCTGTTTCCAAGAAGAAATACCAACCCGAGAATCATAAATAACAAAGCACAAAAGAAGCAGCATTACAAATTAACTGAGAAGAACAAGTTTGAAAGTTGGATGGAGATATAAAGCAACCAAGTTAGCCGTTGAAATATCACGCAGCAACGGACTCAAAAAGTATACGCTTGAATCTTTTGTTACATCACGCATCTCACGATAACATTGCTCAGAACAGAAACTCTTGATGCTATTTCATCTTTCAGTTTCAGGATTTGGACTGTACTCATTTCGTACGCAAATTTGACTATTTACATCATTCCTCTTCCTCTGCAAAGAAATCAATAATTTTGAACACCACAAATGAGAGAAACAGAACAACACCATCGACGCATTCACAACGACAATAAAAACAGAAAATCTCATCACGGAGAGCGATTATCGTCAGACATCATCCCTTTGAGACTCTTTGCCAACCAAATTGCAGTTTCTCTTGGAGAGACTTTATCCTTTCCAAATGGCCTCAAGACAACAGCAAGCTCCTCCAACCTGTTATTTTGCAGCAGGTCAGCTGAAAGCTCCAATAACCCTTCAAGAGCCTCGGATCTTTGCCTGAAAGATTTCACATCCAATATCTCTTTCGCAGGAGTCTCCTCTTCCTTTGTTGGCAATGAGACCTCGGTAGTAGGATTCGATCTCACAGTTTCTGCGCTGTTGGGTCTTTCCTTAATGCTGTTATTATCCAATGCGTTTGATTTTGAACTTGTAGCCTCTATTAGTCCTGGTGACTTCACCAGTGACGGTGCTGTGTTTCTCAGTTCCACTTCCTCTCTAACAGCATTCAATAGTTTTCCCACATCCATGTTCTGAACACCCATTTCAACTCTTTCAATCACTGGCTGCTCAGTGCCAACCCTGAAGCTGCTATGCCTTATGACATGGATAACATCATCAAAGGCTGGAGGCAGATGAGGAGCAGATGGCTTTTCGATAGTCTGGTTCAGGATTGGTACCTTATCTTCCACAAAGCTCTTTGAGGATGTTGATATATTAGGTGCAGCATCAGTAACGGATGCATGTTCCCTGACTGTAAATTTGTCATCCCCAACCAGTGGTGAAATGGGACTGAGGTCATCTCTGCAAATAAATTCTTGCTCAGAGCCTGGGAAAGATGGATCCAAGACTGAACTTGAACTCATTTCATCGTTACTAGCAGTACTCTTCTGCAAGTCCACAACATCAACTTCAAGGTTTGGTATACACTTGCGATCCACATGACGCTCTCTAGAGGAATATTCATGCATGGGAGGGGTACTAGAAGAAGAAACTGAGCACCGAGGTGGATCATACCCTGAATCTTTGGATTGCATGACCTCTTCAAAATGATTAAGCGAGAGCAAGGAATGTGGACTGTTCTCTTCCTTAATTATCACTGAAGGAAGCTCTTCAGTTGAAACAGTTGTTGCTTTCGAGCTGCTGACATCCAACTGCTTCCCTATGAAGGAATCTGAAGAACTCTTTTCTAACTTATTGATCAGTTGCTTGGAGATGGAAGCAGTACAGTTATGTCCAGGCCTTGGCGGTGTGCAAGGTGAAGAAACTGAGGAATGAGGTGGGTCATATTCTGAATCTTTGGACTGCATAACTTCTTCATCATGATTAACTGCGTTCAACGAGCATGGGTCGTTCTGTTCCTTAATTATAGCTAATGGAAGCTCGTCTGTTGAAGCAGCCATTGCGTTCAAGCTGCCTGCATCTGAAGGACTCTTTTCTAACTTTTTGACGTGATTAATCGTTTGCTTGGAGACAAAGGCAATATGATTTGGTTCATGCCATGGAGGAGTGCTAGAAGAAGACACTGAGCAACGAGGTGGGTCGTATCCTGAATCTTTGGATTGTGTGAGCTCATCATGAACAAGCAAGTTCATCGGCGGAAGCTCTTCTGTTAGAGCAGATGTTGCTTTTAAGCTTCCTGCATCCAATTGCTTTCCTGTCAAGGGGTCTAAAGGACTCTTTTCTGACTTCTGGACTGGCTTTGTCACTACCTTGGGGATAAAGGCAATATGACTGGGGCTCTTCTCACGCTCCCGATTACTCTTTGCTGGTGCTCTCTTGGTCCCTTTACTAACCTGGTTTGGATTTTCAGGACTTTTAGGTTTAGGAATAGGGATGGCAAGTTTCCTTGTGATAGTGGAAGGTGGAGGCCTTTGCCTGGTCCTAGAAGGAATGCTGACCTCAGTGACGTGCTTCATAGTATCAGAGGGTGGAGGCTCCTCGATTCTAGCCTTAGTTTTTGGAGAGGACTCAACTACAGGTAACTGCAACAGATGAACAGATAAGATGAAGGGAAACAAATAAGTGATGTCGATGAAAAAACATGTCAACTATATTTTTACCATATGTTTTAGGGCCTGAGGCACCTGCACTCTTTTCACTGAATCATTATTGGTCTTAGCTACTTCACTTCCTGAAACTTCTGAGCTAGACCTGGAACTAGAAGAACAACTGCTTAAAGGTTTTGGAATCTTAGATGATTGATCTGGAGTTGTGCTGGCAGGTTTAGGAACCTTAGGTGATGGATCAATGGCGTTTCTGTCGCTAGGCAAAGCTGTGGTTTTTATGCGACTGCCTCGCACTGGAGAGCTACTTTTCCTAAGTTTCACCTCTTCTTTAAGAACCCCCAGTATGTTCTTCACAGTTTTCAGCTGCTTCGGCTCAACTTTCCTCTGTTGATCAACATGCACAGAATTTGGCGAGCCTTGCTTGTATGTTCCTGCATTTGGAACATCACTGCCATCTTTCTCATCTGGCGTGTGCAACTCACTGCAGTTACCGTCAAAGCCAACATCATCAGTTGAAGCAGAATCACTTTCTGCCATCTTGTTATCAGAGTTTAATGCAAGCCCTGATGTGATTCTCTCGCTGGAATGCAAACTGTCAATATCACTGCTGGATACACTACTATTTTGGCTATCAGACATGTTCTTCTGGCTACCACGTGAAATGGGCTTCTCTGGTGTCCGAGTCACGCTTGATGGATCAGGGGAGGGACGATACTGGTTGATATAAGGTTGTAGGTAAGAGTGTCTTACAACCTCTGATGCCTATTTAAACAGGGTTGTCAGATGAAGCAGAGGATATATATCACAAACTGCTTAAATTTGTATGAGAATAAAGGGGAAAGGACTTACATTTGGTCGGTGCTCCGGGTTTTTTCTTAACATACTTTTGATAAGCACCTTCCTGGGGAAAATCCAATAATGTTAAACAACTAGGCAGCTCCCGCAGATAACTACTAGAAACAAAGTATCTAAAGGCCTTCTATTCTAAAGAAAATATGAAGTCTAAAAGTCTGCTTCATGGTGGGATAGTACAAATGTTTAAGGCACTAAAAGCCTCAAGGTATGTTACATTTAATGCAGTTACGCTTCAACAATGAAATAATAATAACCAAAAATTGTCAAATATTACCAGAAACATAGACAATGGATTGAACATTTGCATAGGGAAAAAACACTTACCCATGTGAATATTATCAATTTTCAATAGAAATTGATTTTGAAACATCAACAGAGATTGTGGTGTAAAGGCTTACTCACATGGAAGGTGAATAACATGGAGGCAGAGGACCCATAGAGGACCTGTTTATCTTACTTATAAGGCCAGCCATATCCTGCGATCAAACATATACATATAATCTAAGTGAGCTAATTACACATGAAGATAGCAAAATATGCAGATGCAACATTGAAGTAAAGAAATTTTAAACGAGCAAATAAGATAGAATTTGAGAGGGGAAAATTTTAAGATTATTTAAAATTATCTATTTTCCCCATTCCACTGGCCTATAACCATGGCAACCAGTTGTTTCTTAGTAGACGAGAAGACTCTTTCTTGATCAGGAACTAAACCAACTGCAGGGTGAACTGCTATGCAATGCAGCTAATGCTGCATCATAAGGTGGACATACAGCTTAGCATGTCACATCAGTAGAATCTGATCCTAGAATGATGGAAAATCCATATTTTATGTGATGAATTTACAATTAGTTTTTTATTGAGAATAAAGCCAGGGCGACAGGCGACAGGCGACAGGTAAAACGGCAGCAGGATAGTTTTTTGAACTATTTTTAAGTGCTGACAAATTAAAAGAAAAGAGGGAAGGAATAGGAATGAGTAGATCTATGAGTATAAGTAATAGTAAAGTGATAAATGAAAATATCAGCTTTCAAGCCCATATTCAGAAACATGCACAACTTGAAACTTCGAATGAAGAATGCCTGCAATGTAAAAAATGACGAATAACCACCATGCAAATGTTTCTAACGGAAAATTAAGGAAAATTATAAAGTTATCTACATCTTTCAAGTGGAATACACAGTTGCAATTCAAAATCTAGCAGGAAATAGTCAATCCACCTCTTCGAGGCTCTTATTGGAAAAACACTGTTTTTCCCTAGGATGAGTCGCTTGCCCCCGTTTTGTTTCCCAAATATCTGCTTATAACCCTCACGAGTGACATGGGGTTAATATTAAAGCGATATGAGAAATTAAATAGAGTAAATGAAATATCATCCCTCATGACAACATAGCAAAGACCATCATATCAACATTGCAAAAATTGAAAATATTGAAGCTATTACTAAAATATGTGATGAGTATATCAATTAATGCTTACAAACGGACTCAGTTAACCTAAAATTTTGATCAAACACTGTTTACCAATCCTGGGAAGGTCACTATCACTGGAAAATCAAGAGTGTGGCGACCAGGAAAACGTAAATTTGTCTGCCAACCCCTACAATCCTCAAAACTACTAGGTAAGTAATCAGACACCTCGGCTCAGCCATATTGTGAAAGATCGGGGCCCGTTACCATAACAAACTTCTTTGAATAAAGTAACTGTTAGAAAATTTCATGGCACAAGGCTCTACAACATGCATGTTTTAATTTCATGGTTCATTAAAATAAATAAATGCACAGCAGAGTAAGTAGGCCAACAAAATAAACATAAATATTTTGAAAATAATAGGCCTTCGATGGTTTGACATGTTCATATAACAAATGAACTTAACAGGAAATGATAAATAGACTTACAAAAGCTTTAAAAGCAGGTCTATGGGCAGCCATCTCATACATACAGCAACCTGTCCAATGACAAGCCAATTAAAATCTAAAGGTTACAACTGAAGCACTGTCCATCCAAGAATCAAGAGAAACACCCCACCTAGAGACCAGATGTCTGACTTGAATCCATAAGGAATATCAGCAAGCAGCTCAGGACACATGTAATTGGGAGTTCCAACAACCTACAGCAAGTTTCAACTGATTGATCATCCAAAATGTAGATAAAAAACGCATGCCAATTATATCTCACTTATAAGAAAGATTACTGATTATTAGCTGTTCTTTTGTTGCTATTTTACGTAAATTTTTCCCCTAAAAGGAAATGTAGTTCATATCCTCACTGAGAAATATATAATAGATAATCCCTATTACATTAGCATGAAATCTGATGACTCTCAGAAGAGAATGGACAACAGAAAGATACCACCATATAGACCGAATATGTCTGATAAAAGCATATCATGGATACAAAAAGCTGCAGAGACTTTATCGAACTACTTCATGATTCTAGTATACAAAAGAAGAAGGCAGCTAAATTAGTATAAATTAGACGTATTCCATGCTTCTTAGTCAAAAAAGGTGAAAGTTGTGTTGATAACTAATGAATGTTGACAGCATACTAAGTTTTTCCACCAATGCCTTGTGATCTTTGGAGCTTGATCTAGAAGTTATATTCAGTCAAATGTATAGGTTCCAGTAATGTAATATCATGACTTTAGCATAAACACACATATGATTGGAAAGGCTATCCTAATTACAAGAGCAACAGGCCCCAAGTATCATGGCAACATGCCTATAATGGAGTATGAAATTGTACTTAAAATAACATATAAAAGCACAAAATAAATATACATGCATGATAATACATACAGAAGAAGCCAAATCATCCGCCTTCAGAGTTTTTGCAAGTCCAAAGTCCCCTGCACAAGAATTGAAATCTGAGTAGGTAAATTAACATTTCAATTATAGGATGTAACAGTTGTATGAGTAACTAACCAAGGCGGATGTCCTGGTCTTTGGTAAGGAATATATTTGAGCACTGTCATAAATGATGCAGCCAGATGTCAATCACAGTTTTTACAACAAAAGAATTCAGTTGCTTCACAATTAATCACACACCTTGAGATCACGATGTAGAACGAAATTGGAGTGCAAATACTCAACAGCTAGTATTAATTGTGAAAACCATTTCAACAGTTTCTGCACCCAAAAAAAAATCAAGATACTCACAATGTAAAATTTAGTAGCATCAAAATTCATTTTGAAAACATAAGAACACCTCTTCCGGGAAGTATGTCCCATTTGATCGCTTCATTAACTCAGCCCTGTTATCAAATGCCATTAGAATAAAATGCAATTTACCAAAAGAATAGAAACTCTATGCATCATGGAACACTCACATGTCTCCTCCTTCACAATAACCAGTGACGATACAAACATAGCAACCCTGCGAGGAGATGTGAGGTATAAAAGTCAAGCAACAGCAGATCATATGAAAAAGAAACACTAGTCTAAAATGTCTTATCATCCAACCTTCTCCACCCAAGCTTCCTTGAACTCAACGATAAAGGGGTGTTGGAGCCGTGCAATGAGAGCCATCTACAATCAAAGTTTTAGAACAATTATAATACACATCATCCGTAGTTATTGGAAATCGATTAAATGGGAATTAAAGGAAAACTAAAAGAAGACATTTCTATTATCCTATAATCTAAAATGCGATTGTATTATTCTAATAAACAGGAATTAAACCAACTTCTATATAGAATCGAACACTTAAATTTACTATTTATAGGACAATTTTTTTGATAAAAAGTATGTTTCCAGACCGACTTGTCGTGTCAGTTAACTATCCCGTTAATCTTATAATTCTCAACTAGAATTGTACTAATATCAACTAATGACTAACAGTGAATACTCATATTTAAAATATACTGCTTTAACTAAAAGAAAAATTACGGTTGAACCATGTAATGGGAGTCACCAGTCAAAACTTATGATGTAACAATCATCAATCCACTTTTACGGTTATTAAGAACTGGTTAAATGGAAATTTCCCATTATCCTACCACAGAAACCAAAGAACAAAAGAAAATTTCCAAAATCCAACAAGCAACTCACTCCTTACTATCTACCACGTCCTTCTGCTAATAACACAAACCCCTCAATAAGATTATATCATTCTCAACTCCAATAGGTTTAAATCAACCTATAATTTATGGTAAAGAGTTTCATTAGTATTCTCTTAAGACAATCGCTTATTAATATTAAACAGAAAGGATACGCCCACCACCCCAACCCCAATAGGCACCCTCCCCCCCCCCCCCCCCACCCAGATCAATTTCACTGACCTTCTCTGATGAGCTGAACCTCCGGCACGATACAGTTCTGGGCCATCGAAAGCCAGGATCTTCTTCAAGACATACCTGCAATCCAAAATCGCATTACTAAAACAAGCACATAACAATAAACCCTAGGTCACTAAAATTCAAGGCTCAAAAACTCACTTCTTCTTCTCCAGCTTGTGATTCACGAGGATCGCCGCTCCAAAGGCCCCTCGCCCAATCTGCTCCATGATCTCGTACTGATCCATGCGAGACTCCATAGATCCAATCCCCGACAATAAATAGATTTATTATTATTTTTTAACTAACAATAATCTACATTTCTCAATAAAACACTGAGATCTGACGCTTCTTTAGATTCAAACCCGACCAAAAACCCTAAATCCAGCTGCATGGGGAAAGAGAAGCACCAGTTCGAAGAGAATCGGCGCAATGCAGGAGATCGAAACCCTAATCCCCCAGCGACCTCGCTTGATCTCGTGCTGTGCAGCTACGTTTCTCGCTCAGAGCAGCTGAAAGCAAACCCCTAAATCTCAGATATCGATGAAATCGATGCGTTTTCTTTTCGTCTCTCTTCAGTGTCTTATCCTTGCTCGCGCCGGAGGGAGAGTAAGACGGTGGCTCATCTTCTCGTTCTGTACTTCTTTTATTTAGTATAAGATAAAGAATGATAACAGGGTTTTTTCGATATTAGTCCCTCGTATCTTTAACATTTTAAAACTATCTTATTAAATCATTGCAATTATTACAGTGGTGGAGCTAGAAATTTTTTCTTTTAGGTGGAAGGCAAAAATCCAAGATACTCGTAAGTACCCCTTGTTATTTTCATATAAAGAGCACCAATTTTAAATTGAAATCTTTTGCGATTTCTTCGTAGTGGAATCCAAATATTAAAATAAAAATAATAATACTCTCCAGGCACTTGTGAGAACCAAATATTAAAATAAAAAAATAATATTCTCTTAACACTTTTTGATTTATTGGTACAAATAATAGTTAACTAATTAACAAAAGAAAAGGGATACTTCTAGAAAATGAAAAGAGACAAGACAATAAAATTTTGAGAAAATTTAAAACATTATTGTTGTTGCAAGCAAGTTTGATACAAGTAGGACATAGTTGCATAAAATAATAAGGATATGAAGTACTTTGATATTCATATACTCATCATACAAAAGTTTAGAATATGTAAGTATGCAACATACTTTGTTATTCCATTCCTGTTGCTAATAGCCTCGCTTAAAGTCAAAAACTTATACTTTGCTATCCCATTCCTAGAGGTCATAGCCTGAGGTGAAGTCAAAAAACTTTCGGGGGCTAAAACCCTCCTAAGAATCTATGTAATTCCACCCTTAGTTACTGGTGAGTCTCTCAATTCTTAAGTTTAATTCTTAAGTTATTTTAAATTGGTCTCTCAAATTATTAAACTTGCTACTAGATCTTCAAATTATAAATTAGTTTGAAATTAGTTCCTCGGGTACAATTATCAACTATAGTGATTAATTTGAAATTAATTATGAGAATTGAGGTGTCTAGCAAAAATGTTGATGATTTGAGAGAATAATTTGCTTCTCATTTCTATTTTTGCTCCTGACTATAAGGACTTGTTTCAAATGTTCAATCATTTGAGGGAATAATTTCAAAATAGCTTAAACAATTGAGGAATCAAATAGCAGTGAGTTAAGGACCCAATGATAATATGGAGGACGTAAGGGACCAATATAAGAAAATTCATAATAGTCTTGAGCTGGGGCCCAGAAAAGAGAGTGGTGGGTGGAGGTCCATGGATGAATCAATCAATTGGGAGTTGAGAATTAACGAGTATTTATTAATGTCGTTGTTTAAAAAAGGGTAATTTGGAGGGAGAGGAGAAACGTCAGAAGCTTCTGTGGCGTCTTCTGCGTGTGCGGCCTTGGAGATGATGATGCTTTGCTGGGACTGGGAGTTTTTGTTAAAGTGTTCCTTTGGAGTAGGATTGGCTAGGTTATGAACGGATAAACTATTTAATCTTTTTCTTATTTAAAGGAAAGGAAAATTTCCTTCAAGGCCCCAAAACTCAATTTCTATTGTGTTGTAGCCCCCCTTACTTTCCCTAATGTGCTGTAGCCCCTTCTTTTTAAAAAAATTACGTCCAGACACCTCCAGTCCAAAATTCCGATTTTACCCTCCCTTCACCTCCCTCCTCCTCCTCCTTTGTCGGTCCCCCTTTGCCCCTTCCCCCACGCCGCCTCCCTCCCCCGCTCCGCCTCCCTCCCTCGCCCCCACCTCCTACGCCACGCCCCCCCTCCCCCTCCCCCCTCCCTCCCTTGTAACGCGTACTAAAAATATCTATAGGTGTCCGCCACACAGCTCGAGACAGACGAGAACGATAACGAACGTCGCTATCGAGTCTCAAGAGGATTATCTGACGCCGACAAGCGCATGAAGTGAAACGCGCAGACCGATAGGCCCGCGCGCTCGTCAATCAATTCGCGCGCGTTAATCAACATGCGCGCATCAATCAGTTCGGGCGCGCGCCAATCAAGCTCGGGCGCGCGTCGGTCAACACGCGCGCGCCAATCAACACGCGCTCGTCGACCAGCTCCGCGCGCATCGGTCAACACACGCACGTCAATCAGCTCGCGCGCATCAATCAGTTCGCGCACGTCACACAAGCTCGCGCGCATCAATCAACTCCGCGCGCGTCGTCAACACGCGCGAAGCGTACAACGTCAATGGAATGACGAAATGCGCAATACAAGTCCCGCGAGGATCGGAAAAACGCCAAAGGTCAAAACCCCGCGCCCACGCGGGTCGCGACGAATCCGACCCGCGCACGTGCGGTCGGATCAATCCGACCTGCGCCCGCGCGTGTCGAATGCGTCCGACCCGCCGCAAGCGCGGGTCGCGATCCCTCTGACCCGCGCACGCGCGGCGTCGGATTGTGCCGCCCCCCCCATCGCGCTGTTTCGACCTCCGGACGCGTTTTTGACGGTTTTGAGCAGTTTTCTCGGAATTTATCTGTTCCAGGGGTTCTTAACTGCCTAGATATCATCTATAAACGTGGTTAGGCTGTTATTGACTAAAGATAAGACCAAATCACTCATTCTCATCCACATACCCGCATCCGGAGCCCTATAAATACAAGCCTAGGGCCTCCTTTCAGCGGGGGCGAATTATTATCAAGACGTGGAGGTGATGCTGGATTGAGGAGTCAAGGAGCATGAATTTCAGCGAAGGCAAATCAGATCCCAGCGAACTTCGGCATAAAGAATGAGTCTTTCGAAGGATCTGAACCCTCGTTCGTCCGTTCCTTGAGATTAGGCTTTGTCTTAATCTCGAGAAGAGCCCCTGATTTCGCTTGGTCGATTTCAACGCTTCAATCAAATACTCCCTCGGTGAAAACGAAGTTCTGCCCAATTTTTCATCAACCGGATCCAGATCTAAGGTGGTCCACGGATATCAAAATCCCCGGCACAGGTAAAGATCCCGCACAAGCAAAAGACCGATAAACGATCTCCCTGCGTTTGTTTTGACGAGAGTTATAATTTTTGTTTTCATTGTGTAAGAGTCTAATAAAAAGACTATCTTTTTTTGTTTTCATTATAACGACTGAAGTTATAATGAATACCGCAATGAATACATCAATTTTCGACGCAAACACTCCCACTCCGCCATCCCCACGCCACCTCCCTCCCCCATGCCACCTCCTCCCTCCTCTCCCCCCTTCCCCAGCCCCACCTCCCTCCCCATGCCACCTCCTCCCCTCTCCCCTCCCCCTCCTCCCACGCCACCCCATGCTGCCTCCATCCCTCCACACGCCGCCTCCCTCCCTCACATTGCCTCTCTCCCCTACCCTCCCCTCTTCCCCAGCCCCCCACCTCCCTACCCCATACCGTCTCCCTCCCCTCCCCCTTCCCAGCCCACCTCCCTACCCCACGCCGCCTCCCTCCCTCCCTCACCTCCCTCCTCACGCCGCCTCACTCCCCCCGCTGCACCTCCCACGCCCTCTCCCCCGCGCCTCCCTCCCCTCCCCAGCCTCCCCACCCTCGCTGCACCTCCCCCTACACCTCCCTCCTCCTCCTCCGGTCCCCCTCTGCCCCCTCCCCTGTTCCGCCGCCTGCACCGTCTCGAGGAACTTCGCGTGGGCACATTAGTAAGAGTTAACATGTTAACTGTTAGAGTTAACATGTTAGTTGTAAGAGTTAACATGTTACTTGTAAGAGTTAACATGTTAGCTATAAGAGTTAACATGTTATTTGTAAGAGTTAACATGTTAGCTGTAAGAGTTAATATGTTAGCTGTAAGAG